TCAGAGGATTGCAGGTTTCATAGACAGTCAGTGTCCTATGCCCTCTGCCATTGCACACCGAAGGCAGACATGAATGTAGCCCCAAGGGCCATAGAGCTGGAGCACCTCCAGTGGTTTGGGTGTATGTAGTGCCTGGTGCTCCGAGGCGCTGTCTCAGCAAGGACATGACTCTAGCTTGTCAGAGCAGCTGGTCCACATCAGTCTTTTCTCTATTGCCTCGAGTGTCAGCGCTGTGCACCCTCTTTCCAGCCACGCAAGAAAGCGGAGACCAACCACAGTACTGGCAGTGTGGGCCCCCAGAAAAGGCCCTGCAGCAGCTTCTCCAGTAAGGGCAGAGGCAGTGATCTCAGTCTGCATTACATACCTGAGAAAGTGATCCTGTGGGATTGGCTCTGACTTCAAACCCTTCTCTTTCCCCCCAGGACTTCTAGTCCCTGTCCCCAATACCAGCAGAGCTGAAAGGACCTGGCACCCACTGCTGCCATCCCTGGCCAGCTGGTTTGGTTAAAAATAGCCGCAACAAATAAGTCCTTTTGGGGCCTGCCTGTAAGCCTCAGAGACCGCACCTTAGCCAGTCTTGTTTGCACACTCTCGATGCCAAACCACAGTACTAAGACATGGGGAGAACAGCCCTTGCTTCCAAACTAGCTGTGCCCATTTGCAAACACCTAAGGGTACTAACAGGGCCCTTGGCGTGTGTGTTTACCCCCTAGCACAGATAAGTGATTAAGAACCACAACAGAACCCAGGGACATAATGTTTAAAAAAAGTAATACTTTGCACCAGGGTTTTGCACTTTACAGGATAAATGGATGTAGGCAGAGTGCGTTCGCATTCATTGCCAGCCGTTCAGTGCTGTCCAACAGGCATAGGGACTCAGAGTCCTAACCAGAGCTACAAACTCCACTGTCAGCAGCAGCAGTCTTCTGCAAAGAGGCTCTTATTTGGCATACGGGTCAGCAGCTTAGGGACGGCACAAGGCAACTGACATGTTAGACCACTATATACACCTTTAGTTTGGGAAAGCTATTGCTGGTCTTTGCTGTTTTTCTTCCAGAAGACCTTCCGCATTTTGTATTACACAAGAAAATTCAGAAAGAAGCCATCACCACTTTTTCTCTCCCCTCTCTCCTTCCTCTGTACTCTAAGCTCTGGAGTTTAATAATCGTTGTATTTTGCCCACTAGTTGCCAGCTATCAAAGGCATTTCTTGCAAGATGATGGGATCTGAGACTCAATATATTTAACTAATTTGTTTCTGCCACCTGAAACTTACTATATTCTGCTTTCACATCACAATCCAAATGAGATATTACTCAGGAGTTCTAGAAACTGTGCATTTGCTTTACTGTTGATTTTAACCGATCTGCGGATACAACGGAAAGCTTACTTGTCATGCAGTGTACCTCTAACTGAGCAGTAACACAGCTAAATTTTGAAGATAGTAGGATGCTGCAGGACAGAATTCAGCTGATGCTCAGTGTAATCTAAAGCACTTTACTACCATTGCAGAGTACAGCCTCTACAGCCCCCATGACCTCAGCAATGGCGGTATCATGCTGAAAGAAAATGATCACTTTAAACATCGGCAGTGCTCTACTTTCTCCGAAAAGAGCCATGGAATCCAGCTTTTTAACAGGACAGATCAGCAGAAGGCCACAGAGAAAACCCCACTGAAACATTTCAGATGGAGGATCTCCATTTCCCACGTTTCCCGAATACTAAGACTTAAAATTGGATACCTAGGGGAAAATTGGATCTCTAGGGGAAGGACCTTCTCTCTCCCACTTTTCCCTTTATGATTCCTGAAAAGTAGAGTACACTGCTTTTCCTTTTACATGTAAGAAGTTTGACAATATCTTGTGAAAGCAAGTTGGAAGAAAAAATAGAGGTTGTTTTTGAGGAAATACTCAAGATACTCATATTTAAATAATAATGGATTAGGCTCAGAGAATGAAATGATATGTAGATAAACAGAAAATAGCTGTCACTTATGCACTGTTAACAGTATTATACTCTGAATCTAGTTAAGCTGCTAAATATTTCTCAAGAGGCAGGGCTGTTTCTTTTGTATCCTTTTCACTGAGCTGTACCTGCTCATCCTTCAACACCCCAGTGGTGAAAGACGCAACTACAACAATTCTAGGATAACTATCTGCTTGTTAGCTTATTAAAAGCACTTGCAGGCTGTAGACCATGATTTCTTGGTGTCTGATTGCATCTCATCATTCGTTAGGATACACTGTGCCAAACACTTTACCGCACGTCCCCACACAATATCATTTAATGTCTAGCATTTATACCATGTATGCGATGTGTTGAAGAAACCTTGATTTCCCCTTCCAGTTGCATAAAGGTTAAGATTTCTGCTGGAGGTGCTTTCCCCTCCCCACAAAATACACAGGCGCCCACTGGGGCAGCTCAAGAACTCAAGGACTAAGAGAGAGACTAAAAGATTTTTCGCAGGAGAGCTAAAATTTTTCACAAGTAATTCTTTACCCTGTGAGAGCTCAGTCTCAGTAAATAGAAAAATTTATGTCCTTGTCTTGACTTGACTTACCGCAAGAGCGTGTTCTTGCATTAGGGGAGGAGGGTTTATAACCTTTGCTTTGCTCAGGGCTACCTGGATCTCTATCTCTACTGCAGCTGTCCTTCTGGTTGCTCTTTGCAGCCCACCCACCCATTAATTCAGATTTAACGCCTAGAGAACTGGATTTGAAGCAGCTGACCTGCTCCCTCTTCAGCTTTTACAGAAAATGACTCCCGAAGCAACTGTGAACTGCATCTAGTTCAGGTGGGTGCTTTTTTGCTAACGCTAAGCAGTGAAATGCACCTCAGTTTTCCTTCTTCAGCTCTTTGCCTTTCCTCCCTGCCGGGTACTTTACTGATGTCCTTTCCTCTTGAGGACAGCACATCCCTAAAAAGAACATGAGGGTCTGAATATACTTTTGTTTTAGTGATGCAGTCACACTTGCTAATGCATGACTGTACCACCCAGAAACACCCACCTCCTCCAAATGCGCTTTTGGCAGTCACTGTGTTCAGCTGGTGCCTAATTATTCTTGGTGCTAGAGAGATACACAGAAATAACTGCACCAAATTATTTTCTCCGGTAGTTACCAACTCAGCACATTATTTCTAGGCAAGTACACATTACTATTTGGCCTTTGCATTTCAGTTTTGCAGAAGGGACATAGAAAATAACTGCTGTAGCTATTGGAAAGAAGTTTTTTTTTCTTTTTGGGGGGTGGGGGAACTCTACACATCAAGGAATAAATGATGCAAGAAAAGCATGAAGAAAACCTCATAGCAGCCTTGAAAGGATTAAGCATAAACATAATGCTCTTACCCTGGCCCATCTAGAGACGAGAGTTGCACCAGTGCAGGAACAACTGTTCTCAAGTTGACAGCCAATGGGTCAGCAGTCGCTCCCTGGTCACAGCAGTCACTCACAAGCGCTCCAGCCCACGAGCAGTAAATGGTACTAGCTGGCGTCTCAGGTATTCCTCTTCTGAAAAGTGCTGCTGTGCTACAGGCACAGCACTTCCAGCATCAGAACTACTAAAAATATCAGCGACATAATGATATCTCCTCCCCTGCAAAATTCTGAAATGAATTAAATAGATTTTTTTTTCTTTAAGAAAGAATTTTTCATGTGCCTTCTGGGGAGGCTACTACTCACCTGGGTCAGATTTTCTAATTTTTCTTCTCAATCGAAAAGATTAAAGTTTTAAAAGCAACAAACTCTTACTTGATCTAGTCTTTCTAGGCATCCTGTACTAACTCAAGAGGTGAAAACCTTTATGATACACAATTTGGCTAAGACAAAAGGTTGCAGAGAATAAAACAGGCAGAAATCAGCAGCACTGGCATGAACGGTCAAGGTTACTGATTCAATTCAAAGCAGTCTTTCTGGTGTTAAATCCTGAGCTCATAACAGACAGCAATAACTGAAAGCGACCTTATACCCTCAGGAATTTAATAAGGCTGGAGTTTTCTGGAGTCTGCCTCATGTTCAAATGAGTTACTGTTTAAATATGAACTTTGCAACTCAGGAAAATTTCAGAAGGAAATATTTTTAGGTTAGGAAAAAATACCGTGCTTCATTAGTCAAACTACTTAGTGCAACTATATATTACAGATCTTGGTCAAGACAGTAAAAAGTCAAAGAAAATGCGTATGGAGTAGTGTTATTTTTCATCCACTAGGAGTTCAAGTCAATTGTATACTTACTTTAGGGCACATAAAATTAAACTATAGCTTTGAAGGTAAGAATTGTTTCATTACAGATGAGCAGCATTAATAGAATTTATTTCCCTTTCCACTTTAAAGCAAGATAGCCTCTATATAGTACAGTACTCTTCCTAATTAAACTTTTTCCATTCTTCCCATATAGTCATTGATTTGAAATTCAGTACAAATTTTATCATTATTTGGATTTGAAGACAAGAAACATGTTTAATACCACAAAAAGCGCTAACTGCTAAGGTAAAGCTAGAAGAGCTATTACTCTTCCTGCTTTCAGTTTAGATCATGACTGGTAGTAGACATTTAACGCAACAGCTCGCTCTCTGCTGGCAGCCCTCCAAGATGCAAGAGCTATGTCTAATTTGTATGACAGCAAGCATCTGCTGAGCAACTCACTTTTTGCTAGGCATGGTTTCCCTTGTTTTGCAGTACAGAGCTGCATAAAATAGTCACAGCCGTGAGATAAGAAATTAGCTAGTCTTAGATGCACTCCAGTTCTTTCTAAACTAGCAGTCACTAGAAGATATCTGCTCCACAAACACACACAGTCAGTCAGCAGGAGCAAAACTGGGTCTCTACCCACAGCGAAAACAACCAAAAGCTTTCACGTCCACCTTGTTCCTTAGAGGTGACCAGGAACTTACTTGGAACCAGGTGGGCTCAACATAGATCAGCACCTGA